AGAAACATATGGACATATACATACATATGTATATCGTAAAAATTATTTGAATTTGAGGTAAATACATATGATAACTGTTTTCCTTTGAATCCCTATGAGTAGCACACACCTCTGCTAATTTTAAAAGTAAGAAAAAACAAACAATTTTATTTGAACATACTTACAAAGTTTTTTTTAAAAAGATAAATAACAATTAAGAAATCACATGCTTAACAAAAATATAAAGAATGTTGAAAGGAATTTAAAAACTATCTTCGATATTTATAAATATCTAAACAAATAAATAAACAAATTACTTACACCTAAAGAAAACAAAAATAAATTCTTGTGTTTACCCAACCAAAGAACTAATGTAAACATATTTTTATTTGGATATCAATAGTTTGTAAAACTTAAAAAATACATATATTTGAGATATGCATTAAATTTAAGGTAAATACCTTAAAGAAGGGCTTAATTTCTAATAATTCCTAAGTTGAGATCTAACTTTCCTTAATGTTTGTTGGGTATTTGCAAAAGAAAATTATATTAAATAATACCAATAAATAAAATACAAAACTTAATAAATAAATTTGAAATTGTTTTTTTGTATTGCTTATAAACACAATAACAAAAATACCAGCAACAAACATAGGTTAAATGCTAATGAAGTTGTAAAATGTTTTACATAACTTTTGAACTTGTAGTAGTAAATAGTAGTTCAGAAGGGTGTTTTGTATTTTGTGTGAAAATAACACCTTTGACAAATTTGTTAAATATTTTTGTTTATGAACAAGTGTATAAGTTAGTTTCTGTGTGTGTGTGTGTGAAGAGCAAAACTTTTCAGTATTTTCTATGGCTTTTTCCTCAAAAATGTCACAAAGTTTAAAGCTGAAAATATTTTGCATTCACACTTTATTAAGAAACCAACATGTAGAGTAACCGACCGATACAATAATAAATTGAAAGAATCACACACTTACTGTCACAGATGCATTTATAACCCAGCAGTTTCTACAAGTATTAGAAGTATCGCCTTTAGTCAATATTTTGCCAAATTTGTCATATTAGCGTCCCAAAGTAAAATAGCGATAAAATAATGGCCAAACTATTGTCATCAAATAATCTAATGTAATTCAATTCACGATCTATTGAAGAGTGAAATGGACATAGATTTAAATCATAATTATTGACTTCCCAAAGTTAAAAAAAACACAAATTAATAACTAATTCGGTACTGTCATCCCGAACGGAAGGGAAATCATTATACAAATACAAACATTTTATGATAACAGCTTGTTACAAGGATGTTAACTAGTTACAAACACAAAAACAAGATGAAAAACATATGCAATTTACATGCTTGTAAAGCCTTTAATAGGACTAAAGAGAAATTATACACAGAGACATTTACTTATTTAGATACTTACACTGCAAACACAAATGAATGTAGAAAAAACCCAACATTTACTTAAACACAGCCATACTTTACACATGCTTTTAGAAAACTTTTATTATGCATAAAAGAAGTAAACTTTTCATGTATTTTAAAAACGCACACAATTTTACTACACTGTAATAGTTTGTGGTTTTGCAGTACCAAGTTATTGCAGTAGCAGCAGCAAGTTGTGGTAATGTTGCTATGCATTTAACTACATACATTCATGGTTTAGTAAAGTATGTTTTTGATAATATTATTGTAGTTGTTGCTGTAGTTTTATTATACAGGATTTGCTTGATTGCATTTTTTGGTCATTATATTAGTATGAAAACGTGATTGGCTTTTAAGATGCTACGTAAGATTGTACACTCAAAAATTCTCTGCCCAGAAAAAAATTGAAGGTCTGAAAGCAAACATAAAGGAAATGCTTTAGTGTTAACATGGTTAAATGTCTATGTGAATCGAGTATGTTTAGGCTATATTGATGTTTAAAAAGTAGAATATTCCAAGTCGAAAAAGAGATTTTAAACTTTCAAAGATTAACTACCTTATTCATAACAATTTATCAATACCGTATATAAAAAATTTTGTATGAAAACATGTCTTATAAACCATTGATAAATTTTGAATAAGGCCCTATATTTTTATATCCTTTAGCTTCGTGAGAAGAATATATATATATATATTTTTAAAAATAACATCATTCCGTTTGTAATTTCTAAAATTAAATTTTCCGAACCTATGAAGTAAATATATTCCAAAGCCTTATAAATAGATTTCAGAGTCTATTTAGCCATGACTGTCTGTCTTTCTTTTCGTATGTGTAAGTCGAAGTGCTTTACGTGAGCAACTGCCATTTCACGGTGGTACATTTACAACCACAGGCAGAGCTTATATATGACTCATCTCCACCCTGTACGTGGTTCTGCCGGTTCATGTACAAGCACTTTGCTCAAGTACTCGAGTGTACAAACATAAATTATTCAGCTAATTTTTTTTCTGGATTGGCCCATAATTGATCATAGCTTCCGTATAAAGTCAACTTCCGCAAATCATTTAAACGTCAATAGCTCATGAATTTAATTTATTATTCTCGAATATGGTTTGTATATATACAAATTATTCTGCGATTTTTTTTTGCGGTCCTTAATTGACAATAACTGCCATGTAAAATCCACTTCTAAATCATTCTATGAAAGTTTTTCCCCATCGGCCGATAATTGGTCATAACTACCAAATAAAGCACTTTTATCAAACTCAATTTATCGTAAATCATGAGTTAATTTTATAATGATAACGGAACCACACTTTTTTTGGATTGGTCCATTATTATACCCTATACCACTTTAGTGGTGTATATATACCCAATATACCCTATTGGGTTTTTGCTAATGTTTGTAACGTACTTTTTGAATATGGGCTCACGACATATTTTTATACCCACCATCAAAAAAGATGGGGGGTATATTGATTTTGTCATTCCGTTTGTAACACATCGAAATATTGGTCATAGACCCATAAAAGTATATATATTCCGGGTCTGTCCGTCCGTCCGTCTGTCTGTTGAAATCACGATAGAGACCACACGAGAGTTGCTAGACAGTTGGAATTTTGCATAAATATTCTCCATTGTTAAAGTTTGTTTGGTATTGAAAATTGGCAATATCGGTCCACTTTTTCGGATAGCCCCCATACAAGTGGACCCCCAAAACACAGCTTTAACGGGCATAACTGCTTTAGAAGTACAAGTATAGCGATGAAATTCGACATAAATAAGTATCATATGAGCCAAAATCTTTCTACCAAATTTTTTGAGGATCGGCTCATAAATGACCCTACCTCCATATAAGGTCCCCTTCTGAAAATTACTTTATCACTCATTACTGGTCCCCAAATGCATGTATACCGATGAAATTCGGTATAAGTATGTTTCTTATGAACCAAAATCTCTACCAATTTTTTTTAGGATCGGCCGATAAATGACCCTACCCCCCATATAAGGTCCCCTTTAGAAAATGACTTTAACACTCATTACTGGCCTTAAAATTCGAGTATAGCGATGAAATTCAGTATAAGTAAGTTTCTTACGAACCAAAACCTTTTAACCAATTTTTTTTAGGATCGGCCCATAAATGACCCTACCCCCCATATAAGGTCCCCTTCTGAAAATTACTTTAACACTCATTACTGGCCCTAAAATGCAAGTATAGCGATGAAATTCGACATAAATAAGTTTCATGTGAGCCAAAATCTTTCTATCAAATTTTTTGAGGATCTTTCTACCCCCCATTATAAGGTCCTCTTCAGAAAATTACTTTAACACTCATTACTGGTCCAAAAATGCGAGTATAGCGATGAAATTCGGTATAGGTAAGTTTTTTACGAACCAAAATCGCTCTACGAATTTTTTTTAAGATCGGCCCATAAATGACCCTATTTCCGATATATGGTCCCCTTCTGAAAATGACTTTAACGCTCATTACTGGCTAAAAAATACGAATATAGCAATCAAATTTTACACAATTAAGTTCCTCGCTAGCCAAAATCTTTTTAATAACTTTTATATGGATAGGTCCATATTTGGCCTTACTCCCCCTATTGGGTCCACTTCAGGAAATAGCTTAAACTCTCATTACTGTCTTAAAAATAAGAGTAAAGCGATGAAATGCTACTCACGTAAGTTTCTTCGCTCCGAATTTCATGCGGGATGTGTCGGTAATTCACAAAAGTTTCCCTTCAGGAAAGAGTTTTGGTTAATAAAATGCGAGTGTTCCTTATTTAAAATACGAGTATAGCGCTGAAATTTTGCATAAACAAGTTCTATACATAATCTATGTACAAAATTTTATGAGTATCGGTTCATAATTGACCCTCACGGTTTAAAAATTGAAATAAAATATTTGTTTTTTAAAAATTAATATTTTGTTAGTTCAAAAGAGCTCGGTCCATAATTGACTTAAGCCATATTCCAAATATGACCCTGATGTTTATAGGGGAGCATTCCTTTTACGGCATACGGTTTGATGGGGGGTATATGAGATTCGGCACAGCCGAATATAACACTCTTACTTGTTTGTATTGGAAATATATTGCAAACTTTCATACATGTATACATACACATGAACGTATCTACATATAGTATACTAACTGTATGTGTATTAACTGTTTATGTACATATGTATATAATGTTTAATGTATCTAATAGTTTGAAGCAGGCAAACAAAACTTTTTTCTAAATAATTACTGTCTATGTCTATGATTAAAATATTTCTGTGATGAAGTCAATTAAAAAGTTTAGAGAAAATTAAGTCATGTAAAAATTACTCGTCAACAAGATATTTGTGTTATATAAATAAATAATTTTTGTAATTATATACATATTTTACTATATAGAATTTATTAGAAGACTTTATGTATTACTTTATTTTAAAATTTTTTATTGCATTATATGGTTTTATGGTAAAATAAAGTTTTGCAAAACAACAACATTTAAAGAAAGTAAAGAGCATTAATTTACTGATTATAAATAATTAATTTTTATAAAAATTATTTATTTCTTTAAAACTCATTTATTTTCCAGACTCAAGCTGGAGTATTACGAACAAGCGTGTGCCGTTGATAGCGTGACCAAAAAGTGTGCTGGTCGTCCCAGTGGCTGTCGCACGGCTATGATTGGTATCCTGGGAACAATATTACGTACAACATGTGGCTGTCATGGCAGTGATGCTCAGTATTTGTATCAGTGTGTTGGTTGGCGTAGACTATTATGGATGAATCCATGTGTTGGTAAGTACAATGTGTATAGAATTTTAAAAATAATTGAAATTTTATTATTAATATGCAACATTTTATTGAAAATTATCTAGTTGAGGCACAAAAGGATTTCCACATGAAACGTTTAGCTGAATTGGGCTTTTTAACTACAACTACTACTACTACCACAACCACTACAACAACAACTACTACAACAAGAGCACCGCCTCCACCACCACCACCGCCAGCACCTACTACAACGACGACAACAACAACACATAGAATGCCTCCACCAGCAGTGCCACCTAAAACACCACGTAAACCAGCAATATTCATGGTAAGTTTTTATTTTTTTTGCATATTTATTAAAAGCTACTGATTAGAAAATATGCAATTATTCATTTTAACCATTTCTTCATGAAAATTCTCTTTTTTCTTATGCTTACCAATCAACCAAACATCAATTACCAATTTTTTATGAAACGATACCAAAAAACACTTTGCCAAACATGTACACAAAAAAAAATTGCAACAATCATAAAAAAATCTCTCTATTTATAAAACAAACAAAAAATATTAGCCAAAAGAAAATGTTGAACCATCATCCGTGGAAGAGAACGTTATTGAACAGCCATATCGAGTGCATAACGGAAATGACGAAAACGGAAATGGCGGAAATGACGATTATCATAGTATCAACAGCAATGCTGGCAACAATGACAATACTAATACCAATGGCAACGGTAACGCTAATAATGGTAATAGCAATGGTAATGGCAACGGTAAGGGCAGACATATAAAAAATGGTGGACGCAATGGCAAACACACCTACAGTAATGGCAACAATAAAGCATCTGCTGTGGCTGAAACCGAAAATGGTTATAACGGAAATGCGGGTGTAGGTGGTGGTAACGGCATTAATAACCATGGCATGGGAGGTAGTCATGGCAATGGTAATGGCAATGGTCGTGCTGTAATTGTCGATTTTGGTGATCAAACAATTTATGTTGAACCGATGGAAACAACTGAATTTGTGGTTTTGGATACAACGACCATTCCAACCACAACAACAATAGCCACAACCACACAAGCGCCAAGTAAGTAATAGAGTTATGAACTTTCAATACAAAAATAGTGTTAATATTGTAAAAATAAACAAAAAAAATATTTTTGTAGGTATCTAATATTATTTTAATTTAAAATGCTTACATTTTAAAAGTATAACAAAAACGTAAAGCAAATTAATAGATTACAACATGTTACTTATATATCGTTACCTGAAATGCAATAGTGGGGAATTTTTGAAAGTTTGAATTTTTTCCATACAATTTTTTTGAACGTTTGTCATTTTGTTTTATAAAATGAGACCCTTAATTACTGCAAATAGGTATTATTTCCATACATTTAAGTCTTTCTAGAGTATATCTTCTTGTGTTATGAATACATATAGTATTCTCTTATTTAGACAAGGTCAAAAACATTTCCACCAAAAACATTTTCTTCTTTCTGTACCCTAGGTCTAGGTATATCTTCGGATCTGATATAACATACATATATACATCCTCCTCCCCCCGGGCATGTTTCCTTGATGATAGACCGCATCTAGGTGTATTGCAATTTCCCCCTTATGAGGTGAGAGGTGTTACCAATACCTCTAGTCTGCCGGGACTATAAACTGGTGTTTACAATTCACTGCCTGGCCTAGTCCTTGCATGAATTGAAAAGAGGTCTAACCAGAGCACCACATAATCTGGTACTATGGGTGGCCATTTGCCCACAGGACTTGTCCTGGCTGTTCAGTTGGTTTCGGTTGCTTCGGGATCCACGTAATGGCTGTGGTTGATACCTAAATCGTAGGAAGGGGGTGCTTGGTAAAAGACACAGTGAAATATAATTTTCATGATGAATTTCTGTTATCGTTCCTAGATGCTAGGAGCGGTACAAACTACAGAGCATGACTGTGGATTGATAAAATGGTGGATTTAAGCTGATACAGCAAAGATTGGGATTTTTAGTGCTTTCTGATGTTAACTCTGATTCGATAAAGCGGATGGAATAATTGATGGATTTGACGGATGGAGTGATTGGTGGCTTATGATGTGCTTAATAATGGTGTATCAAGGTGGAGGCGAAGGTGCAAGGTCGTCACTGCCCTTTCTTTAATTTATCGGCGATTTTTCGTCATGGTTGAGTGTGTTAGAGTTTACTTTAAAACATACCCAACTTATCACAGTGGGTCTTTGTGGCCACTGAAATAAGTCTTTTCTATTAAAATGATCCGTGTTTCGGACTATTAATTACGTCCCCTAGGTGCTGTTGACGAATTAACAGAGCCATCTTAGTAGTGTAGTTGGGCGACATATAAAGGTTTTCCTTTGTCGGGGTTAGATTGAGCTTGCTCATGACAACTGTTTTTCCTTAACGGGACTACTTTGACAAGAGATTAGATAGCTCGAGTACTTCAACAAAGTGAGCGTATAATGGACCGGCATCCATATACGTAATTGAAAAAGAACACCGTGAGATAGGCAGGTACTTACATAAAGCACTTCGACATTCGTGTACATCCTCCTAACTAAATGATCGTAAATGTATGAATTTCTTTTCCGGCATCGATTACGGTTAAAATGAGCCTTAAGAAACTAAGAAAGTATAAAGTATTTATAATTTTTGAAAAGCTAACTCTACAAAAAATTTGTCTTTATGTGAAAAAAAGTTATAAAATTTATGTTATTAATTTGATCTGTTTCATCCAAAACTAATTTAATTTTTACATAATTTTTAAATAATTTTATACCCACATATATTGAAGATATATGTAACTATTTGTGTTTGAACGACCTATTTAAGAAATATTGAAATTTGGAGGTTAATTTAAACTAAAATACAAAATAGGCAAATATTTTTTTCGAAATATTATTAATAAATCATGGAAAAATATTTACTCATTAAATAATTGATGCAAATACTATATCACACATTTGTAAAGCACACACGCTCATATGTACATACATACATATCTTCCCAGTAGTTTCTCTAGAGCAGCGGTTCCCACCGATTTTTACTTCGCGGACCCCTTGAAGAACTTATTTAATTTCGCGGACCCCCATACATATTTTGATATCTTATTGTTCTAAATAATTGTCCATCCGAAAATTGACCTAGTTCATTAATTCCTAGGTCTAATAAATGTAGAGATGTCATATCTATAAAATATTCCCGTACTTTGAGAATATATAATATTTCAGATAGGTTTTCAACAGTGATGCCAGGAGATTTTTTTCAGAAATCCCTACGCTTATGAGAAAAAATCCCTTTTTTCCCTACACCCACTTTTTTTCAAAGTTTATCTTAAAAAATACAAAAATAACATCAAAAACTAAAATATTAGCTCCGTTTTATGATATACATATATGTATGTATTTTTTTTTAATTTTTAGGAATGAAATTTCTAGAATTTAAATTTATATTTTTTTTCTTTCAATTTTACATCATACAAATCTTCCAACCCTGACTCTTCAGTTAAGATAAAAAAAAACAATTGAAAGATTTATGGCAGTATATCGAATCGTGATAAAAATTTATTTTATATGCCTCCAACAAAAAAATTTTCATAAAATAATTATTTTAAATAAGGTTTACTTTTGCGTTTACTTTTTGCGGTTTACTTTTATAAATTTTCAGAACATTAAATTCATTTTTTCAATCCTGAGTTACTGCATTAAGCCCCCGACTACTCTATCTATAAGGAGTCAGAATATATCGCCCTACAGGATTGGCATAATCCAAAAAGTCGTTTCAAGAAAAATGGATATGAATATTTAATGACATTTAACTATTTTTTTAATAACTTTTAAACAAATCAAGGGGTTTTAAAAGTCCAGATTCAGATAGTTGAGGTTAATATGTTTCTCATCTAAATTGAAATTAAATTTTTAGTTGTCTAATATTCACAAAAACGTGGGTTTTAGTTTTTACGTTTACAAAAAATCGATTTCACATCGAAAATAATAGACATATTTGAAATTTCATAAATCTATATGAAAGATTTCAGTATGTCGCATGTTTTGAAGACCTTAGTTCAAGAAAGCCGAATTTTGGATTATACCAGTCTTGTAGCGATATGTAGGTACATATATTGTAGAAATTACAAGCGGAATTTTTACTAACGATACACTTAAAACTGATTTCATTTTTAATTTAAAAGTTTAATACATGAAAGAGTATATTTTTAGTTGTTAAAAACTATGAAATTGAAAAATCCCTACAATTTGACAATAGTAAGAAATCTTTCCCTTTTTCCCTACACGTGAAATTTTTGAAAAAAACCCCTACAAAAAGGGAAAAATCCCTACACTTGGCATCACTGGTTTTCAATTGCATGTTTTGAAGATAGAATGACTTCTTTGTTGATATGTTAACATGATGTATAATTTTATGATCGTGAGATCTTTCATGTTCATTTTTCTTCAAGGTAGCGAAAAGGTTTCTTTATCAAATATTGTCACATGTGCTTAAGGAGTCACGTTTCAAAAATTTGTTGCGATTGCAAAGGGTGAACTGAGTAAGTGAGCTAAGTTTTCGGGAAAATAATATAAGAAAGTTGGACTTCTTCTATGTTATAATATATGATTTGAACTCTTTGTTAAAGTACTGTGAATTTGGAACTTAAATTTGAATTTTAAAATACCAACGAATTATTTTACTTCATGGTTTTTGGCTACATATTTACGAGAAACGCTGTGGATTTTCTGATGTTAATTTAATAATATGTATTGGTCAACAAAATCAAGTTAAAATCTGTGTATCACGTCGGATTGGAATATTTATAAAGAGATACATAAAGAGTCTCCTCTGTTTTGGAAATATATAACTTTGGTCTTTCAAACAAGAACACTTTTGCTTACAATTTGATAAACTTAAATCTGTAATAAGATTGTCTTTGAATTGAACTTCATACTCCGGTACCAGTATCCCTAATTTAATTGTAAGGCAGAGTATTATTTGTCTGAAATAAAAACCATTATTTCAGTACATATACAGGAAATAAAAATTACAAATCACTCAATACTTTATTTTATAAAAGTTATACAATAAATTTGTAGGGCCTAGCTTCTTCCTGATAAACAACCGAAAAAATAAAATTCAAAAAGTCACCAAAAAATTTGGGATTATTGCACAAAAATTGGAGATATTTGTACATACATATAAAAGCAGAATATTGTTTATTCATGGTTTTTTTTTCGTTCGTCTTCGCGGACCCCCTAGGATTTTACTACGGACCACTAGGGGTCCGCGGACCCCCATTTGGGAACCGTTGCTCTAGAGAACAATTTCCATATAATAATAAAATTTTAAAAGGTACAACTGGAGGAATCTTTTTCCAAGTCAATTGAGTAATTAAAACAAAACTAATGAAATTCAGCGCAGATTCATTTAACTAGTTGCACTTGCTAAGAAACGCAAATGTTAAAACATTTAATTAAACAGGTAATTTAGATCCGGCTATCCGTTTTGTTATTATAAGAAATATACATAGTGATGACTTATAGATATAACAAATTTTAAACTTTGAGAGCTTAAAACTCAAAACTCACTATTTCGTCTTAGAATGGAGGTGACATACATATGTATTTATGTATAAAATATTTATGTGACAAGCATCCCGAACTGCAGGATATGTACATATACATACAATGTACAACTTATATAAACACAACACATGTATATATTACCAATACATACATATGTATGTACACATATCAACCACATAAAGGTACAATTTACAATTATCACAACAACATTAAAAATACACAAATCATTTGGAAGCAGATAAATTTACCAAAAAAAAAAAATAAATAAAAATAACAACAAAATAAATTACAGCAATAATTATGAATGTTAAGAGATGAGTAGCAAAAATTATTTTTTCACATATACAAAATAACATACATATATCTACAGGAAATATCTGAATTATATCGAATGAGAGAGCGAGAGAAAAATTTAAAATTATTTGCATTTTTAATGATGTTTGCAAATGTTGAACAGCAATGGTTTTTTTCTTGCTGTTTTTATAATTGGTTTGAATTTGTAC